CTTTTGTTCCTTTTTTCACGGGGACCTCTGTTTTCCATTTCTTCTCTCCTGGCAGGCATGTATTGGCTCGAAAGTGATTGCGAGTGAAACTCTATCGGCAATTAGAAAGGATGTGTTGGCCAAATGCTACGGTGAGAAACTTTTCCTGCAGTGAAAGGATATACTTATTTGTTAGTTATTATTTTATTGCCTCTCTCTCTGTTTAAGGGCCAATGCTTATTGATATGGTAAAAAAGAAAATTCAACATTGGAGGGCAGCTAAAAAGTTCTGCTGTGTGATTTGTTTTGTAGGTGGAGACATTACAAGGAAGAAGAAATTGCTTAGGAAACAGGTGAGTTATTTGACATGAATAGGAATACACAATGAGATGAGGATTAATTCAACCCTTCTTTTTCCAATTCATTCACAGTATCAATTTCTGTTGTGTAGGCTGAAGGAAAGAAGAGGATGAAATCGATTGGGAGAGTTGATGTACCTCAAGAAGCTTTTATGGCTGTTTTGAAGCTTGAAAAAGAGGTTTTGTAATCTTTTTAATCGTTTTTTGTCCCTTAACTATTGTATATATAATGTCAAAGATGATGATAATAATAATAATAGTCAAATGTCAATTACCAAGTTCAACAATAAGCTTCATTGGCCAGCCCGATTGGTAAAGACTTGGAGTCTCTTTGTCATACTGGCTCAGAGGTCTCAAGTTCGAACCTTCTAGTGAGCTTAATACTAAGAACTCTTGATACTTTTTGAGTTCGGGCTTTGAGTGAGGTGCGCGGGTGTCTTTAAAAACAATGCTCCGACTCTCAATTAAAATAAATAAATAACAAAACAATAAGCTTCACTTTTTTTTCAAAACCTAGCATAAACTTTCAAACTGTTGCTGAGAAGGATCCCTCTCCTTTCTCCAACTTGCTCCTGTTGGTCTATGGGGCAGATAGCCCACATTTATGAAAATGAGGGATTAATTGTAGACTTTTGTAAAAAATAATATATAAGAAAATAAAATAAAATTTGGATAATTTTCAAAATAAGGTTACGATTTAGTTAAATTGTGTACAGACGTCACGACTTTAGACTAAATTTTGTACGTCTACTACGATTTAAGACTGCACTTGCAATTTAAGAATTGTACATTTATCATGATGTATGCATAAATTATGGCCAAAAGTGATGCGATTCAAAGTAAATAACATGCTAAGCAGATGAGATGCTTGCTAATGTGGTTCTCAAGCTGAAACCAAGTAAAGTCGTATGCAACGAATACGAGTTTGGTGCATGTTTCTTTTATTTTTTTATTTTTATTTTTTCCCCTCTTTTTAAGTTTTGTTTAGGGGTGTGTTTTTTTTAGATCAACTAAATTTTTGGATCGTAATTGTAAATTTATTCCATTTAAAATAATTTTATTAAATAATAAACTCAACCATAAAATATTTCTGATGGATTATGTAACAACCCGTATTTTCTAATACGGTCATTCTAACAAAATGCGGAAGCGTAAACAAATAAACACTAAATTAACGAAAAAACTTCTTTATTTAAATTGATACTATGACAAAAGAAAAGGACAAGTCCAACTTTGAAACAAAAAAACATACATTATAATAAAGCCAAAGAATAATTACCCGAACTAACTAAGTTCTCGTAAGTTAAAAATAATGGAAAATACTAAAGATTTCAACTTCTCATGCCAGAACGCTATTCCTCAATCACTATCTGAGCAGTCACTTGAACCTCTATCTGAAAACATTTAGAAAAAAAAAATGAGTATAAAAATATTCAAGAAGCAATTTCCATATCGAATTTTGAAATTCATTTTCCTTTCAAAACATTCGTAAACAAAAAATACGAACAGATCGAAATTGATAAAGTCCTTAAAATTTTCAGTCAATCAAAACAAACTTTCATTCTTTCAAAACAAACTTCCATTCATTCAAACGGAACTTTCATTTAATAAAACTTCAAATCCTTCAAAACAAACTTTCTTTCAATCAAAACTTTCAAAATTCTTTTTAAAACATTTGGTACAACTTTCAAACTTTCAAATAACTAAATCATTCAAACATTCAAAACAATCTTACATTCATTCATACTTTCAAAATCAGAGTAGAAGGTTGCATTATTTGGGTAACCTACAGAGCATATGTGGTTACCCGTCGGTAACACCAATCAATCAGAAGCTTCTATCAGAGATGTCAAATTAATTTTGACGAGAACAAAGTTGTCGAAATAATATCTAGCAGAACGGAGTTGTCAAAATAATATATACTAGAATAGAGTTGTAGAAATAATATCGACCAGAACAAACAGAACGGTTACTTAAGTGTGAGGTCATGTGAGTGAATAACACACACATGAATCTTCATTCCCAAGGAACGCCAAACCACAAAAGTGCCTCCCACAAATAAGCCAGAACAGAAATCTATCAATTCCAAATTAGGCTACTATCATAAATAAGCAAAACGTTATTCAAAACAAAATCATGGCATATCCGGATAGCCCCGTAAAATCGATCAAAATATCTTTCAAATAAAATCCAAAACAAATACTTACTTTCAATATTAAATTAATTCAAAACATTGAAATAATTTAAAACAAACTTTATCAATCCCCCAAAACATAATTTCAAATATTTCACAAATAAACAAAATATCAATTTCAAACCTTTAAATAAATCTAAACAAAACTTTATCAAATCATATAAGAATACTTAGAAAACTTTGCAAATAAACATAATATCAATTGTCAAATTAGTTTTCAAATCCATAATAAAACTTCAATTTCATATGCAAAATATCAATTTCAAATCTTCCTATCAAATCCCAAATAGATTTTAGTTTTTGAAGGGATATGACAAATCACTCTAATTAACTTCCTTGTAGTTGTCAACTTAGAGGCCTAGAAACAACCAATATCCAAAATCAATCGTTAAATCTTATCCAAAGATTTAAAATTTAACCAATTACTAACCAAATCTTATCTACTCAATTTTCCCATTCAAAATATTTTTTTTATGCAAAATAATTAGGAAATTATGGATTTGGGACTATAAAACCAGATCTGAAAACTGGATTAAAAAGCCTCTAAAATCAACAATAACAAACTTTAAAATTACAAGAATCGGTATAAATCAATACGAACTAAATTTACAAAAAATTTCTCAATAAAACAAGCTTAAAAACCTTCTAATCAATTGAAAATTTGGAGATTTCAAATCTAGAAAATTTTCTGTTTTATAAAATAAAACTTCCAAGAATTTTCTATAAAACAATTAACAACTTACTGATTTTTATAGAAAAATCAGATCGGAAAACTATATAGAAAACCTTTAAAACTTTGGTAAAAACATTTAATTTTTCATGTAAAAATCGGATATAAATAGGTAAATTTATTATACAAAAACAGTCTCAAAATAGCCCAAAAACAGTCTCATAAACAAAAAGATTCAAACCAAAAATTCTGAAAAATTTAACAAATATCTAAAAACTTTTCCCAATAAACTGAATTAAAGAACTACGGATCAAGAAAATAAAACTAAAACAATGAGGAATAAAAACTTACCGATCTTTGAGAGAAAATACCAAAATTATTCTTCTTTCTTTCCTTTTCTTTTTCTGGTGGAAAGAAAACTAGGTCTAACAGTTTAAGAAAATAAAACCGAGGGTTTGAGCTTTTATAACAAACTCTAATGAATCTTTTTTTAAAAGTATAATAAAAAGATAAAGATTTAATAAAACTCTTTCTTTTTATTTTTTAATTCTAAAAACAAATTATCTTTAAAAATAATTTTTAAAACAAAAAGGTTTATTTTTAGAAAACAACTAAAAAAAATAATAATTTAAATATACTCGGCAAAGCACCAATGGATCCTGGATTTTGTGTTGGGCAGCCCAATTGCATATAATCGTAAAGGAAAACTATGAATTTTAAACGAACTTGACAATATGTATCAATTTGCACCTTCCACTTGGATAAGTGTCGTTAGTTTTCACGTGTGTCAAATTTTATCACATATTTTATTTGAAATTTTGTTGAAAAAATATTCTCATTTTGTTGAAAAAATATTCTCATGTGTCAAATTAGAAAATATATCCTTTTTTTGTATGAAATAATTGTTAGGATTTATACGAAAATTACATTATAGTTGCTTTATTTTTCTCTTTTTGCTTAAATTTATAACTTCTGGCGTATTTAATGATAGATTTCTTGTATTAATCAAACATGAATTGAAAAATTCCATTTTATTAAATTAGTGGATTTTTTTTATATTTTTTTTAAGGAAATTGTAGATTTTTTTTAATTTAATTGAGGGATGAATTATGATATTTATTAGGTTATGAATTTAAATTTATTAAAATAAATATGTTCCATGATATAAACTTAATTATTGTACTTTGTAAAAAACAACTTAATTAGACATAAAAGTTAAAAATTATTTATTTTAAATGAAATTATACACTTTTAAAAAATACTAGTTAGAGTCACGTGCATTGCACGTGGGTTAACATTTTTAGAATACAATTTTTTACGGTGATTTCATATTTGAATGAATATACCTTTTATTAATGCTTAACTATTAAATATTTGATATAAATTTTTAAAATAATGAAAGCGAGAAAATAATAAAAAAAACATCCTAGATAATTAAAGTGTAAATTCATATATATGTATAACGTCATACCTCTTTTCGAAGAAATTTTTCCATGTTAATAGTTGATACTAAAATTCGAATTAATCTTCATTTTAAAATAGTAATATACTGCATGATTGACATAAAAAAGTTAAAAATTAAAAAAATGTAAATTATGCGAATTGTAGAATAGCTATTAAATGTAAGGATAAATAGGTAATTATTGTATTAAAAAAGTGAAGTAGGTAATTTCTTTTATTTATTCAAGATATTTTTTGTGGGAGATCTTTATTAAAAAAAATTTAAATTCTTTAGTTTTTTTTTTTAAATGCTTATGATTACTGTTTTTACAAAAATTTTGTGTTTTCATAAAGAGATATTGGGTTACATTTTAAAATTATAAAATATATTTCACTCATAACACTTTTAGGCAAGAAAATAATTACTTTAAATATAATTTTTAAATCTCTGTTAAATTTTTAGTTTTTGAAAAAAAAAAATCTACCTCTTGTTTTCTTAAATCTTTTTATGACAGCTTGTTTTAAAAAATTATTATCTATTATATTTTAAAATTGTTAGTAATATTTTATCTAGTGAAAGAAAATAAGATATTAAACAAATTTAGAAAAAAATAATGATACTATAAAATTTTATCATTACAAATTTTAGGGAAAATAAATCATATGCACGAAAATTTTCTAAAAAATGTTTGACACAGTAACATTGTTGTAGAATTAATATCTTTTAAAATCTAGAAATATACATATGATTTAAAACGAAAAAAGTTCAATATAGATCAAATAATAAGTTAGTTTGAAATAAAAAAAATCGAAACTTGTTGGTATGAAAAAATGAGGAGGTTGTTGAAGATAGAAGGAAAAACAATGAATTAAAAAGATAAATTATAAAATTTCATAAAAAGAAATTAAAGAATACAGATGATTGAAGACTTACTTTTCATATAATCTCGTGTTTATGTTGGTTTTTTTTTCACTAAATTGGTAAGACCTCCAATTTTTGTTGATTTTCCCTTCAAGAATATGACAAGATCTCGGACTTTGAGTAATTTTTCTTCTWGAACATGATTGGATCTTCTCTTGTCTTGTTGGTTTTAGGACCAATTACA